AGGTAATTAAAAAATTACAACTCTGAACTGTCCAATAGCCTCCTCTGGGGTGTAATTTGGCAGGGTTCTAGATAGACGCTTAATGTGCGTGGCTCTGTACTTCCGCGCCGCCTCTGACCGGGACTGCAGCTTGACACAGAGTTCAGAAAACTCCGGCTTTCGAAAAGACGGCGACCGCACAATCCACCCAGAGACACCGTCCACAACGCCTTCTTCTTCATTGGACATTAGGTCTACCGTGGCACACTTTCATATTTCCACTTTGTCACTTTCTAGCACACTCAGTCTCGATTCCACCAGCTGAAAGAATCAGTAAATATTATTAGCCAAATCAAATCCTTTTCCCATCTAAACATTGCCTGGATCAAAAACATAGTGCCTTAAGCAGACCTGGAGATTCTTATCCATGCATTTGTCTCCAGTAGGTTAGACTACTGCCACAACAGCTGCAGTACATTCAAAATGCAGCAGCTCAAGTCCTGACCAGAACCAGGAAGTACGATGGCAAGGCAAGTTTATTTGTCTAGCACAATTCATACACAAGGCAACTCGAAGTGCTGAGCAAAATAAGAAAGCATTAAAATAAATAATCACAGTACATTAAAAAAAGATAAATATAAAATCCCTCAGTTGTAGCACAGCTAAACAAAACTGTTTTTAACCTGGTTTTAAACCTTGTCAGAGAAGAGGCCTGTCTCACTTTAGCTGTGCTACAACTGAGGGATTTTATATTTATCTTTGTTGATGTACTGTGATTATTTAATGCTTTCTTTTGTTCAGCACTTTGAGTTTCCTTGTGTATGAATTGTGCTACACAAATAAACCTCCCTTGCCTTACTGTGCGATGCAGTTTAGTCTTACCCTCTTTCTTCTCGCTCGACTCTGAGCTGAACTCTTCGCCACATCCGCCCTCAATGAGTTTTCTGGCTTGGCATTTTGATGGCTCCTGCGAACCGTCTCATAATAAGTCTTACAGGCCGCTAGAAAACAATCAAAAGAGTGATATGAATAAAAATCAAACGCAAGTCACAGTAACGTCACACAAGGAAGGAGAAACAGTAAAACACTTACACACAATGTCGTCTTTATCAACATCGTGGAAATGTGGACTTGCAGATATTGTGTTAAGCAAATAGGAGGTCACCATCTCATTACGAGGCTAGATTAGTCTGAAAACAAAGTGTACAGTTATGATTGGTATCTATACATATCCATTACCGACACAAAACGTGTAGGTAAACCAAATTCAATTTCCATGGATACATTAACAATACTTACATAACCTTTTTGAGAAAATGGATCCTTCAATGAAGAAAAAAGTGTGATAAACTTTGTTTTCGGGAAGGCATTTGTCTAAGGAAAGAAAAACACTCATGGTCAAGGGACTTCATGGTTACATAAAAAGGCTAAATTAATAGTATCTACAAGTACATATTTTCACGGGGACCTAACCAAGAGATAATCTACAGGAGAACATCTACCTAGGTCATTTATAAAAGAGATAAGTACTATTTATCTTACATAGGGGAATCAATAACAGTGCTGAGAGAAACTGAATTGTTACGTGATTATTGTGAAAGGTCTTTCAAGTGATTTTCATTTTATTTTGAGTAAATATCCTTCCACTTGTAAGAAGGAACTTTTGAGTAATAACTGAGGGATACAACATACCCATGTGTTTCACTCATGTCACTGACGAGAAGGTCGACAAGTGTGACTTAGTGATCTCACAGAATCATAATCTTTAAGGATCTCTCGGTCACCAGGGTTTTCCTGCAGTTCCACCATCTACAAACACGTGGAAAATGTAAAATGACAATCTACAATTGTACCAAAAATCTTATGATACAAAATGCAGCAGTACCTCTTTTGCTGTGTCCTTCTCACACATGTCCTGATTGGATCTCCTTGTGACTGCCACAGAGGATTCTCCTTTAGGAGGAGACTATGGGTTCAGGTCAATTGAAAGTCATGGTGTCCATTTCCATTTGAGAAATATCTGTTAAAAAAAATAAAACATCTAAATATGATGCTTACTTGCATCTTATAATACTTTGTCATTTCATGATTTTGAATGTGAAATAAATGTGTCTCTCCCGTGTCTCCTCCTGAAGAAAAACTCCTGAATTTACAAAACAAAACGAGTTAAATACAAGTAAAATGACATTTCACCAGGCAGAGCATTAACCCCTTAGCATCAATATAGAAATGGGTTCAAAGAATGGACAAATTAAAGCAAAAGAATAAAAGAAAGTTCTCACCACACACACAATGATGGTAGGAGTCATGGGAACTTGCTCCATTGGCACTTCTCCTGCCAGGCATGACATCGTCTCTCTCCTCGAAGTAGGACAGCAGAAGCACCCTGTCTTTTGTGTCCTCAGAGCATCCACTCAGCTGTCCTCTCAAGACTTTATACTTTGTCAGATCCTCAAGGAACCTTTTACATTTGTATTTGCACACGGTGTTCATGTAGTGCAGGAGCCTTTTCCCTTTCTGATCAATACAAAATACAAAACCGACAAGTAATCATCTTGGCAAACACATTCCCTTCAAACAATGCCTGTTTAGTGCAGATCTTAAACGAATCAAATGAATATCTTACCTGTATTCCAAACAGTCACCGGGAATGCAGCCACAGAGCCTCTCCTCAGCCCGCACGTGCTCAAGTTGCGCTCTTCTGGTTAGCACGTTTGGCTAAACACGTGCCAAACGTATGGTTCTGAAAATAACCGGATATCAGCTTAGTTGTTTTATGAGGTGTTTATGCCAGAATGGCAAGATTTTGTCTACGTGTGAAATGCAACACCGTAAATGCAGTTCAGTTTCATGTCACCAGCATCACACAATGGTGAAATGCTCGATGCTAACTAGCGTTAGCTCTTCTAGCTAGCCACGGCTAGGCAGCACGATACTGAAACTAGCTGCCGGACAACGGACACATTTCAGAAAAACTAAATGTCCTTCTTCTGCTCTGTATCAAGATAAATTATCTTACCCGTGTTATCGGCTTCTCGAACGAATGCTTCTCTTCTTCACCAACGCACACTCACGCTCTCTGTCCAGTGTCGTGTGAAAGTTGCACACGGCACTGATCCGGGGACTGACGTACACAGCGTTGACTCCGCATGTGTCTAAACTCTCACGATATCAGCTGATTATCGGAAAATAAAACGTCTTCTACAAATCAAGGAGTCCAGTCTGAAAATAATATACAGATTTATATTTTGCATGGAAAATTATTGTTGTTGCACGCGTAAATACACTATTAATTAATTACTCCCCTTCCCAAAGTTACAAAAGCTTAATTTGGTTAAAAGGTGAACCATTACTATACAGATTATTTAAATGTATTTATTTTAGTCATTTAAACTCAGAAAAGAAACACAAGAAGCACTCTACACACATGGAGAAATTTATTTAAAAAACAAACGTTGTTCTTGTTGGTGTTAATGTAGTGATTAATAATAATGAACATTTTAATTGCAGTTTCAGTCTTCTTCTTCTTCACTATATCACACATTTACTCATACATTGAGTTTGTACCAATTTTTCGTGGAATGGGTTATGATTAATGACAAACAGGAGTAATGGTTAACTAATAAGTTAATTACTTGTAAACATTAGTTTCAAGTATTTTAATTTCTTTAGTAATAGACTCTTGATGTACATTTGACTGCATTTGCTTGGTTTTTTGTTTTGCAGTTTTTTTTGCAAGAAATTTTATAATTTTAACATAAATTTTCTCTAAAAGTAACTATCTTGGATAGTAAAACTTCCAACTGAACATTACTGTTAATTAAACTGAGTTTGATGGTTTTTCAACTTACAGTTTTTTTCAGTCACCATTTTACAGACATCTTCAGTACATTTCACTGAAATTTTTTACAGTGTATGTATATGTTTATATATATATATATATATATATATATATATGGTGCTTCTTTGAACCGAGAATATAACACATATTTTCAGTTGATTACCTTTTCTTTTAGGTATGTACATAATTCAGTTTTGATGCCTTCAGTGTGAATCTACAATGTTCATATTCATGAAAAAAATAAAAAATCCAAACTTTTGGTCTGTACTGTACATACATATATCCTTTGATGAGCACTTACACTTTCAACATGTCTTTTGTCCTATTGGATTTATTTAATTGATTTTGACATGACAAGCTATAATCAATCATGATCAAATATTTATCTGATGTGTGTGTGCGTGTGTGTGTGTGTGTGTGTGTGTGTTTGTCTTTCCCACTTGGTGGGGACCGTGGTCAGACAGCACACTCACGGCGTGAGGACCGAAATTTTCGTGACCATTAGACAGGGGAGTTCCCTGACAAATTTTCAGGGCTGACCCCAGATATCACATATATCTGAAAAAGTGTGTAAAAGTGTGTATAACAAGTCTCTCTCAGTGCTGCCAACTACTGGTCGGATCTGGTACTGCAAGAATACACACTTCACACACATTTGACTCATCTGCGCATGTGCGTGGAAGGATTTACTTCTCAGTGCCATTGACACGGTTGAGACATGAGTGAGAACAAAAAGGTAAGTTTAACAAATACTTATACAAAGACAAGATTTATTTATATCAGACAGTTGTATGAGATTAAATGCATGTGTTCGGCCATTGAGTAAACCTAGTTTACTTAGTTTTAGTTTAGTTAGGAACTGTGTTTACTCAAGCTACCTCATGTTAGCAGAGCAGCTAATGCAAGCTAATGGGCTAACATGTGGCCTGCGCCATTTCTATCAGCACAGTGTAATCACAATGCATAAATTCGATTAGTATACAGCAAGTGCGTGTTTTAGTGGAATTAATTTATTTATATATCAGCTGGCTGGGTGTCCACCGGGTCTTGAGCGTGGAAACCCGCTGTAAACACCGGTACTCCACGCCCTGCTGAGCACCGGGGCTTCCCCACGTCTGTATGGCTCCCGCGGGATCCACGTCTGCACGCGCACCGGGGCTCCCGCGGGATCTACGTCTGCATGCGCACCGGGGCTCCCGCGGGATCTACGTCTGCATGCGCACCGGGGCTCCCGCGGGATCCACGTCTGCATCTGCACCGGGGATCCACGTCTGCATCTGCACCTGCACCGGGGCTCCCGCGGGATCCACGTCTGCATGCGCACCGGGGCTCCCGCGGGATCTACGTCTGCATGCGCACCGGGGCTCCCGCAGGATCCACGTCTGCATCTGCACCGGGGATCCACGTCTGCATCTGCACCTGCACCGGGGCTCCCGCGGGATCCACGTCTGAAAGCGCACCGGGACTCCCGCGGGATCTACGTCTGCATGCGCACCGGGGCTCCCGCGGGATCCACGTCTGCATCTGCACCTGCACCGGGGCTCCCGCGGGATCCACGTCTGCACGCGCACCGGGGCTCCCGCGGGAACCACAGCACGCGCACGGGGACTTATTTATATATCTGCTGGGTGGCTACCGGGTGTTGAGTGTGGTGTACATGCACACAGGGATCACGTCTGCACAGGTACCCATTGAGTGATTGTTTTTCTGACTTAAAATATGACTAACATCTGTCTTTATGTAATCTGGTCTACATTTTACTGTCTGACATAACTAAAACATATTTATTTATATCAGATAGTTGTATACAATTCAAAATATTGAATATCAAATCTTTACTTAGTTTTCTATAGTTACCTCTTGTTAGCAGACCAGCTAACAAGTGGCCCATGCCATTTCTACCAGCACAGCACAGTGCATTGCATGAATATAATTGATATTCAGCGATTGCGTGTTGTATCTAATTCAAACAATATCATATGTCTGCTGGTTGGCCACCAGGTCTTTACTTCTCTTTAATTCAAGCTGTAAAAAATAATTGCGTCATCTGTCTCTATGTAATGTTGTGTAGATTTGGCTGTCTGACAAAACTAAAGCATAATTTTATAAAATAAAAGATTTATGGAGGGTGTTCTATGACATTGTTAATGCTTTGTATTTCAAAATAGGAATAACAATGGCAACAAGAAGCAGGAGGAAACTGCCAATGGAGGACGCTACTATACATGCCACAAAAGCACAGGACAAGACGGTGGAATTGGATGTGCAATTCATTAACCCCTATAAAGGTACTGTATGTGTGTGTCATTTTTTTACATTCAGTAATGGCTTGACACAAATATGCACAAGAGTAACATTTTTCACTATAACAGTATTCAGAACATAGCCGAATGTGCAACACAAGATGTTCTGACCCGGTTCTTAGCATTAATGTGAGAAAGTCGAACTACATTATCCATTTGTCCAGGCGACAAGCATAAAATATGCAAAACACCCCAAACCACAAAACACATGCCTAAGCACCGTTAACTTGAGGCTATATCATTTTGTGATTGCGTAGTTTCTGAACTTAGTAGCTGCGGATTACTAAAAACTTGAGAAACACAAATGGTATACTACAAAGAGTAGATGTTAAATGGTGGGAATGCACAAGATTTGCACAACCTGAATTAACGGATTCCAGTTTATAAAATGGCATTTTTGGAAGTTTTAACACACGTTTATTATTTGTGACCGCGAGGCACTTGCTGCTGTTTCCTGTATGAACTCTGCAAGCTGCGGACGCTCTGGACAGCAGTTCCTCCAGCGGCTGTGATCACGCCGTTTGCTGATCAATATCCAAGGCATACACGCACAGAACTATTCTCTGCTTGTAATGTGCGTGTCTTTGCTTAACCGGTGCACACAAAAAATACAGCGCAGAAGCTGGACTGCGGAGCCTCAGTCTCCTCCGTGTCTTCTCCCGAAGCGCACTCGCTAAATTAAAGCTTGGGTACCTAATTTTCCCTTCCACTACTTGTGTCCAAAAGTAATGGTGTAACCAAATCAAACAGATTTAATGACATTCTGCCTCAGACTGTTTTAAATATCCCTCATCTGTAACAAACATTAATTTTGGTTTGAGTCACTACAAATACAGTACATAGAACAAATACAGTGCTGTATTTGTTCTAATAAACAACTACAGTACAAATGAACACTATTTTGTCATGTATCTTTCCATTCAAACAACCATTTACCTGCAATATATGGCATCATTTTGTCGATAGTTCGAAATGCGATTAATCAATACTTAAGCTGTAATCATCTCTATATATATATATATACATTTTTTTTTTATCTTAAGTGAAGCTTTAAGGTGTTGAAAAATGACATAGTAAACACATGTGCCGGCGGGACATGTTTTTAACCAAACTGTAAAGCACGTTGTGTTGTTATTTTTTTGTATGAAAAGCGCTTTATAAATAAAGTTTGGATAATTATTTATGATATTAATGCTTTCTTATTTTGTTCAGCACTTTGAATTGCCTTGTGTATGAATTGTGCTATACAAATAAACTTGCCTTGCCTTGCCTAATCGATTGATGTTTCTCTAGGTCGTGGGGTGTTTGCCAAATGCCAATTTGGAAAGGGTGACTTCGTGGTTGAGTACAGAGGAGATTTAATAACTTGGGAAGAATCACAAAGAAGGAGGAGGACTTACCACAGAGCGAGTGCCGTTTTTCTTTATGAGTTCTACTGGAAGGAAAAAATATGGTGGTAAGGTTTTGATAAATGTCTGCCTATTTTTCCAAGAGCAGGAGATTTTATAATGCTCAAATGGATAGCATGTATAGCCATTTCTAAATAGTTATGGACCTTCATTTAATTGGTAAATTAATGTTTTAATTAATATGAATATATGTTTTCCAATCTCAAGTATTGATGCATCCCGAGAAGATGGTAGCCTTGGACGACTCGTCAATGATGACCACAGGCACCCAAACTGCAAAATGAAGAGGGTCATAATAGAGGGCAAACCACACCTTTTCCTCTTTGCATTGAGGGAAATTCATCCAGGACAAGAAATCCCATATGACTATGGGGGAAAAGATTGGCCATGGAGAAAACAGGTTTGTCATAATTAGTAAGATTATCAATGATTGCTCTAGTGTAAAATTTCATTATCCAGATATTTTTTCTTGGATTTAACTATATACTGGTGGGTCTGCCTGTCTACATCCAAGTGATTTCATAATGAAATATAATGATATATAGTATAGTTATAGTTATTTTTTTTCAGACACTAGAACAAAGTGATGCTGACGTTGAGTCATCTGACAGTGCAGTCTTCTCTGCTGTTCTGGAAACTTCAGAGAGGCCCTCAACTTCCACCATGAAGGTAGGAATGAGTTTGTTCTGCAATGGTTGCTCTTGTGCACACTGCCTGGTTTAGTTGATCAGTTCCATTTTGGTCTCACACATGTTGCCAAGCGGAGTCTGTTTTTTCTCATTTAGTGGGGACCAACCAGTCTTTTACTGTTATTACACACTTGTCTGGTGTCTGTATTTGTGGGGACCACGGTAGTTGGGTAATACCCTCATTCATACAGGCAACAAAACACAATCTATTACACGTGGCCCATACCACTAGCCAAGTTTGTCTTGTACAGTTTACACCAGTTCTTCTATCACAGGTCAATTCAGATCAGTTCCATTTTGGGTTCAAACATTTTATCAAGCACAGTCTGGTGTTCCTAATTAAGTGGGGACCACACTTAACACACTTGTCTGGTGTCTGTATTTGTGGGGACCACGGTTGTTGGGTTATACCCTCCACATTTACTCACATTGATTCGTCACCTTCATTCATACAGAAAACAAAACAGTGTCCATTACATGTGGCCCGTAACACTAGCCACGTTTGTCTTGTACAGGGTACACCAGTTATTCTATCACAGGTCAAAACAACCCTGTAATGCTTGCTATTCACTTGTTTTCAGTTGTAGCTTTCACTGAAATACTGTAACAGGCTACACTTCTCACACTTTAACCAGAAATAAGTTCAACCTATTGAAAATACATATGATTTTGGGCCAGAACACAGAGATATAGATGTTCATTCCAATGTATGCTTTTCTCTTCTAAACTAAGCTGATTTATTTACCTAAATAATTGTTTTACTGTTGAAAAACTTCTCATTGCTTATGAATGTTTATTTCTCTTATTTCAGACACAAGAACAAACAATTGATGCTGACGTTGAGTCATCTGACAGTGCAGTCTTCTCTGCTGTTCTGGAAACTTCAGAGAGGCCCTCAACTTCCACCATGAAGGTAGGAATGAGTTTGTTCTGCAATGTTTGCTCTTGTGCACACTGCCTGGTTTAGGTGATCAGTTCCATTTTTGTCTCACACATGTTGCCAAGCGGAGTCTGTTTTTTCTCATTTAGTGGGGACCAACCCGTCTTTTACTGTTATTACACACTTGTCTGGTGTCTGTATTTGTGGGGACCACGGTAGTTGGGTAATACCCTCATTCATACAGCCAACAAAACACAATCTATTACACGTGGCCCATACCACTAGCTAAGTTTGTCTTGTACAGTTTACACCAGTTCTTCTATCACAGGTCAATTCAGATCAGTTCCATTTTGGTTTCACACATTTTATCAAGCACAGTCTGGTGTTCCTAATTAAGTGGGGACCACACTTAACACACTTGTCTGGTGTCTGTATTTGTGGGGACCATTGTAGTTGGGAAATCCCCTCCACATTTATTCATTATACAGACAACATAACGGAATTTAGTTAGGAAGTGGGGAGGTGCTGTCATTGATTTAAATTCTCCACTATTTTCTTTGATAGGGCTTGAATAAACCAGAACGTGTTTGTTCATCAGTTGGATTAATTCCTTCCCTTGTTGACTACTCCGACTCTGACTCTGACTCTCAGGACCTATGCACCAGTCCTGCCCAACAAATAGAAAGCAGCAAGGTACTTAAAAAAAATATTTCTGGCATATATATATATATAATATATATATATATATATATATATAACATTTAGATTTTTTTGTCTTATGTTATAGACTCAGAGTCTGGTTTCTGATTCTGATCTCATACTCACCGACCAGGAGTCTATTCCGCGGTTGAGGAGAACCAAGAGCATACAGGTGTGCAACTCAGACAATATTAATGCATGTTTAACATTTTGTTTTTCCATTTAATGTGTATGACTCAAGCTTCTCTCTTTTATTGCATTTCTTTTTTCTGTCCTGAAGATAAAAGAGAGGATTGAATTTGATTCAGATGACCTTTTTGATCCCATCTCTGACAACAGTGGAAGTGGAGAAGAATACATTCCTAAGAGTTGTGAGGATTCTTCTGAAGATACAGATGGTAGTGGCATTGTCTCATTTGAGCAGAAGATGAAATGCCAGAGATTTCCAAAGTTAGGGAATATTATGGAAGTCAGAGATTTAAGTCGCTCACTGCAAGAACTTGACAGCACCTCTTTGATGCAAACTGTGAAGACTGGGAGTGCACTTGCCAGGAAAGAACGCACCTCTGGTAGGAGCTGTAGAAAGAGAGGTGCAAGGAGTGTATCCTGCCCAAGAACACAAACAAGTCCCAGCTACTCCACAAAAAAGAGCGAAGGGACGGACACTGGAGCCCTCGAGAAGTCATTATCTGATCAGGATGAACATTTGGAAGGAGTGGATTCACTGGCTGGTGATTTACTTTCCATACCAGCTGTTTCTAAAAAAGAGGATGGATCAAGAAAGTATGACAAAAGACAATATTGTTTGTACTGCAAGAAGGACCTAAGTAAAATGGCAAGACATCTGGAGCGTGCGCATAAAGACAAGCCAGAGGTTGAAAAGGCTTTGTCCTTCCCAAAAGGCTCCAAAGAAAGACGCATGCATATGGAGCTTTTAAGAAACAAGGGAAACTTTGCCCACAATGTTGAAGTGCTGAATCTTGGTGTTGGAACTCCTGTGCCTTGCAAGCAACCAAAGGAAAAATCCCAAGTGAAAAATTTTCTGCATTGTGCATATTGTCAGGGCTTGTTTGTAAAAAAAGTCCTCTGGAGGCACATAAAGACCTGCAAATTCAGGCCGAATATTCCACTAAAACCTGGCAGAACACGTGTCCAGGCCCTCTGTGGCTTTACAGTGCCTCCACCGACAGGAGTAAAGGAAGAGCTGTGGAAACTATTGAACAACATGGTGCAAGATGATGTGTTCCATGCAGTGAAATCTGACACTTGTATACTAGAGTATGGAGAACATTTGTACAACAGGCTGGGGTATGATGTCAGCAAACATGAGTATATTCGACAGAAATTAAGGGAACTGGGAAGACTGCTATTGTGCTCCAGAAAAAACACCCACCTGAAGACAATTAAGGAGCACATCAAGCCTGCAAATTTTATGCACGTGATTAAAAGTGTAAAAGAATTGGCAGGGTATAGTTCTGAAAAGCATTCATACAGTTGTCCTAGTCTGGCATTAAAAATAGGATACAGTTTGAAAAAAAATATCCTTGCTTATTGAAAGCCGTTCAAATGTTCAAGGTAACTCCACTGCTGCAAAAGAGGCACAAATATTTCGCAGTGTCTATGAAGCCAAATGGAATGAATTAATATCTGCAGCATCTCTGAGAACTCTTGAAGAATCCAAGTGGAACACCCCACAATTGATCCCTTTCACAAAAGACGTCCAGACACTTCACTCCTTTTTGGATGGGCAGCAACAAGATCTTCTCTGCAAGTTATCCTCTGACACATCCCCCCAGACATACTCGCAGTTGACAAAGGTAGTTTTGACACAGGTTATATTGTTTAACCGACGAAGAGCTGGAGAAGTGTCAAAAATGTCTGTCTCTGCCTATACATCAAACAATGTATCAGATCCACAGGAGGACATTAATGTTGCTCTTTCAGATCTTGAGAAACCTTCATATAAATCAACTGGACCAAGAGAGCGGCGTATTCACACTTTGTTTGGCTACAGCAGAATATGTTTCATGAATTGTTTGTTCAAACAAAACGCAAAACTATGAGTTATGGGTCTTACCTTATAAATGACCTGCACAGTCCACTTCGGTTCAGACCAGTTCCGTGTTTAAGTCCAGATAATAGTTTGAGCGTAGATATGTAATCCTCCATTTGGAAATGAGTCCAATGAGTTTTAAAAAGTAAAACAAAACGCGTGTGTCCTCCATAAACTCCTCTGTTTTGCTGCAGCCGGGTGCATCCAATTTCTAAAACCAACCGTCTAACACTTCACTCTCTTTCTTATCATTCCTATAGTCATTGAAAAATTACCCTAAGTGCATTTTAAATTATCTTAAAATGTGTTTTATGCCAAACCTGCTGCTGTCCTTAGCAGATAAACCAGGAAGAGAAAGGAGCTTTTCTATGGAATTGTATGCAGCCTTCTGCGCTCACATGAGCTCCTCTGAGGCCTCACGGTGATACAAGCCGTGGTTGAGCGCGATTAAGACCCATATTTGTTTCAGAAACACAATTTATGACCATCCTCTCAACTGTAGACATTGTAAAGGAAATATGTTTTACATCAGCCTCATCCTGTCTTCTCTCATGACAACACGTGCACGAGTCCTATCACGAAGTAAAAAGAGAAGTTCATTGTGCGTCTTGAGTAACGCGCAGTAACGGGATGTAGCAAATGATAACGGCGTTATAGTTACAGTCAAAGTAACTAGTTAGATTACTCGTTACTGAAACAAGTAACGCCGTTATTCCCATCACTGCTTATAAATGTCCATGAGGCTGAGTCCTCTCTGTGTCAATGCACCGTCTTTAAATACAGTGGTCCATAAGGGACAAAAAGGAGAATCTCCTTTTCATTTCACATGAGCTACTGATGTAAAAGAACCATGGAGGACCAGTTATATAAAAGAACCATGGAGGACCAGTTATATAAAAGAACCATGGAGGACCACAGTTATATAAAGGAACCATGGAGGACCAGTTATATAAAGGAACCATGGAGGACCACAGTTATATAAAAGAACCATGGAGGACCAGTTATATAAAAGAACCATGGAGGACCAGTTATATAAAAGAACCATGGAGGACCACAGTTATGTAAAAGAACCATGGAGGACCAGTTATATAAAAGAACCATGGAGGACCACAGTTATATAAAAGAACCATGGAGGACCAGTTATATAAAAGAACCATGGAGGACCACAGTTATATAAAAGAACCCATGGAGGACCACAGTTATATAAAAGAACCATGGAGGACCACAGTTATGTAAAAGAACCATGGAGGACCACAGTTATATAAAAGAACCATGGAGGACCAGTTATATAAAAGAACCATGGAGGACCAGTTATATAAAAGAACCATGGAGGACCACAGTTATATAAAAGAACCATGGAGGACCAGTTATATAAAAGAACCATGGAGGACCACAGTTATATAAAAGAACCATGGAGGACCAGTTATATAAAAGAAAAACCCAAAGTCTTAAAACATAATTATATAAAAGGCCGGCGTCATAGCAGCAAAGTGTCAACATCACAAACCACACGCACAAAGACAGCGTTAACACAACAGGAGGCACATTGTGTAGTTTGTACAGAACAGACTCACACAAGAACAACACGTAACTTTCTTCACACTGACAATAATGAGAACGACAAACATCACTGTCTCCTCCCTCATCATCACTGACTCCTCCCTCATCATCACTGTCTCCTCCCTCATCATCACTGCCTCCTCCCTCATCATCACTGCCTCCTCCCTCATCATCACTGTCTCCTCCCTCATGATCACTGTCTCCTCCCTCATCATCACTGCCTCCTCCCTCATCATCACTGCCTCCTCCTCCCTCATCACCACTGCCTCCTCCCTCATCATCGCTGTCTCCTCCCTCATCATCACTGTCTCCTCCCTCATCATCACTGCCTCCTCCCTCATCATCACTGCCTCCTCCTCCCTCATCATCACTGCCTCCTCCCTCATCATCACTGTCTCCTCCCTCATCATCACTGCCTCCTCCTCCCTCATCATCACTGCCTCCTCCCTCATCATCACTGCCTCCTCCTCCCTCATCACCACTGCCTCCTCCCTCATCATCACTGTCTCCTCCCTCATCATCACTGCCTCCTCCCTCATCATCACTGCCTCCTCCTCCCTCATCATCACTGCCTCCTCCCTCATCATCACTGCTCCTCCTCCCTCATCATCACTGCCTCCTCCCTCATCATCACTGCCTCCTCCCTCATCATCACTGCCTCCTCCTCCCTCATCATCACTGCCTCCTCCCTCATCATCACTGCCTCCTCCCTCATCATCACTGCCTCCTCCTCCCTCATCATCACTGCCTCCTCCCTCATCATCACTGCCTCCTCCCTCATCATCACTGCCTCCTCCTCCCTCATCATCACTGCCTCCTCCCTCATCATCACTGCCTCCTCCCTCATCATCACTGCCTCCTCCCTCATCATCACTGCCTCCTCCCTCATCATCACTGCCTCCTCCCTCATAATCACTGCCTCCTCCCTCATAATCACTGCCTCCTCCCTCATCATCACTGTCTCCTCCCTCATCATCACTGCCTCCTCCCTCATCATCACTGTCTCCTCCCTCATCATCACTACCTCCTCCCTCATCATCACTGCCACCTCCCTCATCATCACTGCCTCCTCCCTCATCATCACTGCCTCCTCCCTCATCATCACCGTCTCCTCCCTCATCATCACGTCTCCTCCCTCATCATCACCGTCTCCTCCCTCATCATCACCGTCTCCTCCCTCATCATCACCGTCTCCTCCCTCATCATCACCGTCTCCTCCCTCATCATCACCGCCTCCTCCCTCATCATCACTGTCTCCTGCCTCATCATCACTGTCTCCTCCCTCATCATCACTGCCTCCTCCCTCATCATCACTGTCTCCTCCCTCATCATCACTGTCTCCTCCCTCATCATCACTGTCTCCTCCCTCATCATCACTGTCTCCTCCCTCATCATCACCGTCTCCTCCCTCATCATCACTGCCTCCTCCCTCATCATCACTGACTCCTCCCTCATCATCACTGCCTTCTCCCTCATCAGAGCTGAGAGTTACTACTCCGTGATAAACAAAAAAATCAGTTTCAAATTCTACAGTCTATGGTTTTTTTAATAACAGTCATATCTATCACTATAGTGCTTTAGTTCTACAGTCTATGGTCTTTTTAATAACAGTCATATCTATCACTATCTGTCCATGTCTTATTCTTGAACTCTGCTTCTGTTCTCAACATTTCTGGTTCAGTGACTTCTTCCAAATACATAGAGTGACACATTTTACTGCCTTGTGTTTTTAAATATGCATTTCCCGGTTGTTGAATTTTATTAACAAGCTTTGGCCCTATATTTACAAAGTGTGAGTTAAGCCCGTTGGCCATATCTTTAACATCTATTTGATTATTTTAATCATTTAGTAAGTCATTTAGTATAGTAGACTTTGGTTTATTCTTTTCCAAAACTTGTTTTTATATCTTCCATGTTGCTTTCATATCATTCTGATTTTGGCACATGCATTTAGCAGTCCTCTTGTCAGCCATGGTTTAAGTGTTTCTTTAACTTTCCTTATTGGTTCTGGGCAGTTGTTGTCATACAGACACTTGTACTGGTCTAGAAAGGCTTCACATGCAGCATTCACCTCTTGTACATAAACTTCATTCCATGTCTCATTCAGTTAGTCATTTCTTAATGTTTTTATCGTCTCTTCATTTCCTATTCTTTCTATTCTGTGCTGTCTCTCCTTTTGAACGTTGTTATTGTCAGTACCACCTTTGTGTGTCATAAAGATCGGTAAATGGTCTGTAATGTCACTTATGGAGATGGCACTATTAACTGTGGTTTCCATTATGTTTGTAGATATGTTGTCACTAAGTGTTTCAGAGTCAATGGGTATTCGAGTAGGCTTTGTGATGAGTGGGTCGAGACCTTTCCAATACATCATGTCTAGAAAGTGTTCCGTTTGTCTATGTTTGGTTGCATTTAATAAATCAATATTGTAGTCGCCACATGCAATATATATTTTGTTGTAACCAAAAAAGATTAAGTTTTGACTTTCTAGGTAAAAATCAATTGCCAACTGCAATACATGCTTTGTGGTGTACAAACTGGAATGTGAGTGTGGTTGTTTTTATATTGGAAGAACAAAAAGGAGACTGAAGGACAGATTTGCTGAGCATAAACGCGCATTAAAAAAGAATGATCCTCAGAACCCAATGGCTGTCCACTTTCACACGGCCGGACACACAAACATCAACAAACTAAAAGTGATGGTAATTGACTCCATCCCAAAATCACCCAGAGGTGGAGATAGACTCACCCACCTGCTGCAACGTGAAACATTTTGGATTGTGAATCTGAATGCCACATCCTTTCCTGGACTGAATGACGAAATTGATTTTTCACCATTCCTTTGAATGTGTATGTGTAACATGATTTATGAGATGATTTTTTATTTTGTGGAACAGTGTGTACAGTAGGAAACCTGTGCCCCCTAGGTTATCTGCTCTATTACCTGTTTTACAGATATTATCTCTACACTTCCAGCGAATGTATATAACTGTATATATATAGATAATATAATTGTAAATATGTATTTTCCCTTTTCTCTGTGTGCATTGTATTCTTGATGTAAATACACCAGTGCATGTTTAGAGGAGGGCCGAATGAAGCCCCTCCCTATATAAATCACATGATCACTGGTGTCACCATTTGCACCCTGAAGAAGGCCAAGTCAGGCTGAAACGCGTTGGTGCGTATTTTAATCCACAGCCATGAGCAAATAAAGGCTTTTTAAATTTCTAAACCACGAGTGCCTTGGAGTTTTTTGATTTTCAAAATTATTCACCATTTGATTTTTACCTAGAAAGTCAAAACTTAATCTTTTTTGGTTACTAAGTTATACCCCTCGCCCAATCGAGCACCTGGTCTTTTAAATAATTCTACGCACTTGTACCACGCAGCACTCCTTACCCTTCGTTTTTTTGAGAAATATATTTTGTTGTCCTCTAAGCTTTCCAGAATGTTCTCCGTTCTCTCTGCAAACGTGTCCACGTTAGAACCAGGGGCTCTGTACACACAAGTCACAATCATATTTGTCTTCTTTTCCGTCATCATTTCTACAGTAATGCACTCCATTCACTTGATCATAAAGTGCTTAAGCTCCTGTACAGTACATTCACTTGATCATAAAGTGCTAAATCTCCTGTACAGTACAATCACTTGATCATAAAGTGCTAATGCTCCTGTACAGTACAATCACTTGATCATAAAGTGCTAAAGCTCCTGTACAGTACATTCACTTGATCATAAAGTGCTAATGCTCCTGTCCAGTACATTCACTTGATCATAAAGTGCTAAATCTCCTGTACAGTACATTCACTTGATCATAAAGTGCTTAAGCTCCTGTCCAGTACATTCACTTGATCATAAAGTGCTAAAGCTCCTGTACAGACCCTGATACAGTTTTGGGGGAAACACAAAAACACCACATCCTTTAATCCTCGTACAAACAAAGCAGTGAGAATCATTCATAAAGTGACTCAGTGACGTATACAGACTCTCAGTGACGTATACGGACTCTCAGTGACGTATACGGACTCTCAGTGACGTACACAGACTCTCAGTGACGTACACAGACTCTCAGTGACGTACACAGACTCTCAGTGATGTATACAGACTCTCAGTGACAGACTCTCAGTGATGTATACAGACTCTCAGTGACGTACACAGACTCTCAGTGACGTACACGGACTCTCAGTGACGTACACGGACTCTCAGTGACGTATACAGACTCTCAGTGACGTATACGGACTCTCAGTGACGTATACAGACTCTCAGTGACGTATACAGACTCTCAGTGACGTATACAGACTCTCAGTGACGTATACAGACTCTCAGTGACGTATACAGACTCTCAGTGACGTACACAGACTCTCAGTGATGTACACAGACTCTCAGTGACGTATACAGACTCTCAGTGACGTACACAGACTCTCAGTGACGTACACAGACTCTCAGTGACGTATACAGACTCTCAGTGTATAAGGACAGTAGAAGCTGCACTTCTGTCTCTTTTATAATTATAAATTCCACAAACATCCAAATGTTTAAGAACAAAATCAAAGCAACAGTGAAATCGTATGAAACGAATGATTAGAAAAAAATGAGAAAATAACTTTATAATAAAAAACACAGACTTTTGAAAACAAATAAAAACAGTTTGAAGCAGCAGCGCTGAAGTCCATCTATGGGTCTACGGCCTCAGTCCTGGGTCTACAGCCTCAGTCCTGGGTCTACAGCCTCAGTCCTGGGTCTACAGCCTCAGTCCTGGATCTACAGCCTCAGTCTTGGATCTACAGCCTCAGTCCTGGATCTACAGCCTCAGTCTTGGATCTACAGCCTCAGTCTTGGATCTACAGCCTCAGTCTTGGATCTACAGCCTCAGTCTTGGATCTACAGCCTCAGTCCTGGATCTACAGCCTGATTGATTGGCATTTGAGTTTATTGAGCGTGGCTAGCTCCAGAGTGGCCGGAACTACTTGCGGAGTTATTCACGCATCTGAAATACAAGCAGAGAGTGCGTTGCCAAAGGGCAGCGGTCATTATTGTTTTGAGAGGTCCGTTATAGAAAATAATGACCGGTAGAACGTTTTGAAATTACATTCAAATCAATGGAGCGTTCTCCTGCTGCTGTGAGGAGCCGTATAATAAGATAACAATAAAGCACACATCGACAGCTGAGATTTCTCTAACTTTAGCTCTAAATCTAACTAGAGCCCTAGTCCGAAGATTATGTTCAAAAGAGGTCTCCCCGTGGAGGTCATCAAAACACCGGAGTCCATCTTGGAGCAAGTGAAGCAGCTGGAACAGAGTGACCCGAGGGACTGGCCGCAGAACAACGCCAGCCTTTAGGAGGATGGAGGCGGATGCTTCGGATGAATGAGGTTATCTTCTGCTTTCATTATCAAACAGTATTGTCAATATCTTTAGGTTTATATAGTCACTGGTTTATTTGTGCAATATGGAAAGTCATCATCATCATCATCTGTTTGAGAGACCCCTGCTTTGGAAGCCACCCAGTACAAGGAGGGCAGATATGTCATGATTACAGGGAAAAGTACTGGGAAGGTTCTCTTACAGACTGAATGTGTTCATCCCACCGGGCACTGACGGCTCCATTCACCATCACAGCTTTAGTTTGATTACGACTAAAATCCAAGGAGTCCTAATATGTGGAGGGGATTTCAATATTACTATGAATGCTTCTCTGGACTCTTCCAACGGTAAAGGCTGCACAAAAAAGATTGGGAAAAAGCTTTCACAGTTCATGAAAGAGGCGGGGAGGGTAGATGTGTGGAGAGAAGAAAACCCAGCTAAAAGAGAATATTCACACATGACACATGACAAAATGACTTATTAAGAGTCAAAAGTAGTGAGATTGGGCCCTGTACAGTCTCGGACCATAATCCCGTTTACTTAAACATCTGCCTAGAATTAAAGAAGCGATCCACGATTTTGGAGATTAAACATTAAAAACAAAAGAGGATTTGATTTTTGCAATTGAAGAATTCCTTGTGTATAAAAACAATCCTATCTGAAGAAAACAACAAAAAACTATTTTGCTTAGAAGAAAAAAAGTCTAAAATTACAACAAGAACAGTCAAAGAATATGTAAAAAGAAATGAAGTCCAAAATGTCCAAAGGTAAAAAGGAGATTGCCGTCGTTAATACACTGGCTGTGCAGAAAAGGCTTCATAAAAACAGCATTACTATGAGGCAGGGGCAGATCCCTAAAACTTCTTTCTTATAAACTGAGCAAACAACAATTAAGCAGAAAGGGCAATACACTAAATAAACAATCCCACCAACAATAACATTGAATCTGATCAGGAAGAAATAAAAAAATGTTTTCAGGATTATTACAAACATGTCTATTCTCAAACTAAGACTAATAATGATCGCACTGATGCCTCCTTCAATCAATCAATCTGTTTATTTACAACTTCGTTGTCAATCCATCGTCACGG